TACACAACGGCTGGGGCTTCTTCTGGCAAAGGCCTTGGCAAAGGCTGCCAACAGCTGCGTTGTGATAAGAGCGTTCGGTCAAGTCGAACACTTGACGCCTCGTAGGCGGTACCCCATGGTACGTACGTACTAGAGGCAGTGTCGCGGCCAGACAAGACGGCTTTATTATACACTCCGTGTGAAGTCGCTATCTTCGGCCAGTGTGACCGTTGGGTTCCGTGTCACTAACACACCTGCCTCTCGCACCTGCACAGTGGCAGCAATTGTGCTGATGTTGATTACTTTGTGAAAATGGCCAGTAAATATCCGTCAGGTAAGCTTGAAAACCTCTTTTTTGAAGGGCAAATGTGCACCTTTATGTTTGTTTTACGTCTGGATTTTGTACTGCGTCGCTTGCACGAATCACCAGTTCGGCTATGTCCACTAGTTGAACGATGGGCACTAAAGGGTGAATGTGGAACACAAATAACCTCTTTCCCTAACACATGAAATTTTCACTTTTCAGCTTTAACTCAATTTCAATAGCTATTTGTGGATCTTTACACCATCCATTTCTACTTTTCATTTTGACCTGTCTCTTTCTGATCAATGTTGTAAATTTCTAACCAATGTGTTAGGAAGAATTTCTTCACTTCCTGTCAGTTCTTTGTTTACTCCTTCCCTATTCAAGAAGTGCACTTTCTAATTTCACTTGTTACTTTTAGGAATGAAAGCGCCTGTTCGGCCAGCTCCTGCTCCTCCACCAGGTCGCAACACAGCACGCTCCACATCAATGCCAGCTCAAGAGTGATGGATAGTTGGGACTTAAGGTAGGTCCATTTCTTATGTAATATTACTGCCACTCATATTCACCGAAAATTATCTTTGATTAATCTGAGCAATTTTGGTTTACAGCTTTGATGACCCTTTTAGTGATCCCTTTCCAAAACAAACAACCAATCAGTCTTTAGCATGGCCAGATATTCAGACCTCCGCCAAAAAAATGCCCCCTCCAAGACCCCCACCACCGAAGATCGCTGTCAGCAAAGGTGCCCTGAAATCTGCAGGGAAAAGCCATTCTAAATCCAATTCAAAACAGGTAAGAGTCGTGTATGCCAGATTTTATAAGTTAAACAGTTTCATTTGTATTGTAATTTGCACTGTCTTTTTCCTCCCAATGAACAGCCAAGTCGTCCTGGAGAGCTGCTTTCAAATCTTTTCACTAGGCGTGGTCAAAAGGGAGATTCAGCCCAACCACAGAGCACTTTAGGCCTTTCAAAAAGTGTGACTCCATCACCAACACCACTGCCGCTCTCTTCAGTGGCAACTGCCTCTCTAATAGACTTGAGCTCTCCCCCAAGTTCACCAACTCCTACAACGAGATCATCTAGTGATGGATTAAGTGTGGACAGTTTTGGTAGTGACGGAACAACTTCGCACAGTCATCACCACTCTCAGGTATTGAAGTTTTGCACCTCAGCTTTCCTCAGAACTAATCTGAACCTTCTTCCAGGTTTATGAAGTGTTACTCATTATTTCTTCATCTCCAGGTGGAAAGTGGATTTGAGGATGATTCTGAGCTCTTTGGGGGATTTACTGCAACTCCTAGTCCTGTCAATCGAGATCCATGGGGATCGTCTCCTTCCACTCCCAGTGATCTGTTCTCGCCTGTCAACTCATCAGCTGCCACCTCTAAAGGACCTTGGGCATCAACTCCTCAGGACCCATTCTCACCCCCCAGGAAATTTGCTGCATCTCCTATTCCTACACTCTCAGTGCCACAGCCCGCACCTGCCACGGCCCCTACACCAGGCGTCATGGCTTTCAAACCAACAATTATTCGCCCTAAGGTCAAACCAAACAGTTCGCCATCAGTCACTCGGGCTAAGTCAACTGCATCCCCATCAGTAAGTTTTTTGATATTTTTTAGTTAATGTTCCAAATGCTATGTCTTATCTTAATTTACAGCTATTAAATGTTTTCCTCTTTTTTTGTTTTTAGATGAATTTTGCTGATGATGACCGTTCAGAATCTCCTCCCATGCCCTCTATTCCTCCTCCCGCCCCTCCGGCAGAGTTCTTGGAAGAAGCGACCAGCGCTGTACATGGCGCAAATTCTAGGGCTCACAGAGGCAATACCAAAGGTCCCCACTGCATTGCATTGTATGACTATGATAGTCCTCATGCTGACGATTTATCGTTTAAGGTCAGTAATGTGGACAATTCCTGTCTCATTTTATTGTTGTTTTGCCCACAATTCTAATAGTATGTCTGGTCATTTCAGGAAGGTGATATGATTGAGCTGGTCAAAGAAATGAGTGATGAATGGCTGCGTGGTCGTATTGGAAGCAGGGAAGGCATATTTCCCTTGAACTTTGTTAACATTATTGTTCCACTGTCTGGCGTTGAAGGTTTTCCTGCCACTGCTCTTTATAACTTCTCCCCAGAAACTTGGGAGGATTTGGATCTGCAGGTGAGGGTATAAGATATTTTAGGTGCTACTTTATGCAGACTACATTTTGAATCATATTCTTCAACCTCTGTGTTTTTTTCCTTGTTTTTTAGGAAGGTGCCAAGGTTCTCATTTTATCAAGAATAAATAATGATTGGTTGTATGGTGAATGCAATGGAAAGCGTGGGCAATTTCCTGCTACTTTTGTAGACAATGTGCCCTCAAACTTGCCAATGCATTCTTGACCCTAGGTCAATCTCTTAGGAAATGACGTCTTTTTTTATCAATGTGATATGCTATACTTTGTCATGGCAGCACCAAAGCTTTTCAACCTGCCTGACTTTAGTATTAATTTTTATCCTTTATGTTTGGGCATCAATCTGTTAAATTTGAAAGTATTTTCTCATTGACATAATTCTTCTGTGTCTTTTTGTGGTTTTTCTTTTGGTGGAAAATATTTCTGTTGCTCACAACTTTCATCATCCTCTATAATTTTTCTGAAAGGAACCAAAAAAAAACTTGTTAAGTTTCGTTGTTTCAAAATATAGTTTAATTCATTAAGTTACAATGAATCACATCTCATCTTATCGTATTACAGCCCTTATTTACCCACATCATTATTGCCATGTTTGTTATTACAGTTTCAGTTGAAGGCAATATGGTTTGTGTAGTATTACTACTGTGCCTTTTTGCTCAAGGTGTGTTGGAGTTCCAACTGAGATTCAGTTTTGCTGCAAAGTCAGACTTCTGCAATGTTTTAGTTAATTTGTTTTTATAATTTTCTGTTGTCTGCTCTTTAGTCTCCAAGAGACTTGTGGTTTGCCTGTGATATGAAATGTTGCGCAGTGGAGCTGTTCTGCATTGTTGCTCTTCCCTTATAAGTTTTCCTTTAGGTCTGAAAGTAATGAAGGAAAGGTTACAAATCTTTTGATTTTAACTCATTGCTTGTGCTTTCTGTGTAGTGTGTAGCATTCTCTTTCTTTTAGTATTATTACTATTATTATGAATCTTTTAATCTTTGGTTGCATCCCTTTGAAGATTAAGATAATCCATTGCCGGTCTACAAACTCTTTTATTGTTGCTACTGCTGGGGAAGAAATTCCAATTTTATTGTTTGAATTTTTGGCAAGCCATTATTAGGTTTTATTTCCTTTTACCATCAAAACTGTGATGGCTCTTTTATACATAAATTGTGCAATACAGTACTTTTATTACCAATCTTGTGACATCTAATAGGAATAAGGGGCCAAGCAATATTGAAATTCTTTTTGTACAGGGTCACTACCATGTTAGTGAAAACTTATCAGTCTACCCAATTTTTTGTAATGAGGACTTCATGAACCAATTTTAAGTATCTGCCATAGACTGTGTTTTTCAATGAAAAGTAATAAAAATTCTATACCTTCTGAAAACTCAATTCCTTTTCCCAAACCGGCCACGCAATATAATCGTTCCATTTTTATTTTATTTGAAAACTAGTCGAAGGGCGTGACAAACAAGAAGCTAAGAACAGAAACAAGATAATACCAATAGCCATATGATTTGATTTTAAGGAAGGCAGACTTTCAAGGTGGATGGCGCTGGTGGTTGGTGGGAATCGCGGACGCCGTCGTCAAGCGGGACTAGTGCGGGATGCTGGCGGGAATTTATCAAGCACTTTTCTTGATCGAGCTTTTAGCGTTCTTCTCTTTAGTGGCGTGAGCCCCAACCCACACACACACGAACACACACCCGAGCGGCCGGAACGAAACGCTGGCGCAGTCGGCGACACGATTTGATTCACTTTTCCGCCCCCAGCTACTCCCTTCTCATCAAAGCGATCTCGGTCCCGATGGGGCGGCGCGCAGCAACGGTCCTGTCTCGCTGTCCTGCCCTGTCATGTCCTTTCTCCGCCCCGCCCCTCTCCCCACCCCGCCCGAAGGCCCGAACCTCTTTCCTCTTCTTTCCCGATTCAGTCGGTCTCCCGGGTACTCCAAGTTCGCCTCCGGTCCGGTCCCACCTAATGAAGCTTTTTGTTGGCCTTCCCTGCAGGGAGGGGGCGGGGGGAGGGCGGGTAGGCGCGGGCCGCCAAGCGGGCCGCGCCGTGCCGCCGTTCTTGCGGAACTTGCACTGCACACGCCGAAGGCCGCGGCGCCGCGGCGCTGTGAAAGCAGATGGTCGCCGAACAACGGTTGCGGTCGAATAATACCGACGGAAATTATGTGCTCGGCCCACTGCAGCGCAAGGATGATCTCCTCCGAGCAGAGTGGAGCACATCAGACTGATTCCGAGAGTCGCTTTCGTCGCTCTGTCTCTCCGGGACGCCCCTTGAGTGCGAGAGGGACAGCGCGACGAAAAAGACTCTCGGAATGAGTCTGCAGCAGCCAGGCCGGGCTTGCCAGGCTGGCCCCAGGTGGCGGCCCGGCGGCGCTCCCTGGCGCTGCCCCCCGGCTCTGGCACCACCATGGGGCCGCCCATGGGGCCGTCAAGGGAGGGAAATAAAAGGCAGAATAAGGGAGTGGGGCAGCCGGCAGCAGCGGCAGCAGCAGCGGCAGCCTCTCGTGGGGTGGCAAAAGGGTCGCCAAGAAGGGAATAACAGGTGTGCCCCGAGGAAGAAAATAACGTGACGAGCCGAGGAGGCACGAGGGGCTGGCTGCCGTCTAGCCTCTCTGTCTCCCTCGCACTCACGCGGCGCTCACATGAGTGCGAGAGAGACAGAGCGACGAATCAACCCTTCGGAAGCAGACGGCCAGGCACGGAGCGACACCGAGCGCAAAGGGCGCAAAGTCGACAAAACACGGACGCCCAGTTCTTTGGCATGATGCGAGAAAATATGATAAGGTACGAAGGGCATGTGGTGACCAAGTGAAGCAAAGGGCGGCGGAGAGAGAGAGAGAGAGAATGAGAGAGGGAGGGGGGGGGGCAGGGAGAGAGGAGAGGGAGAGACAAGGAGAGGGTCGTGGGCGCCCTTCGAGGGCTGCTTTGGAAACAACACACCGCGCCATCCATTCTTCGAGCTCTTCGAGAGGCAAAACACAGCGGGGTGGAAGGTGCGGAAGAGGCCCGGCCTGGAAGGCTGAAAGGCGGCCCTTTCGTTTTCTGAGTCGGCGACGAGCGGCGGAAAGAGCGAGAGAGAGAGAGAGAGAGAGAGAGAGCGAGAGAGCAATGCACACAGATTATGCCAAACACGCTTGGCGGCGAAGAGCCTCCACGGGACGCGGGACGCCGCGGTGGCTCCACTTAGATACACAGACATAGTGCCCGGGCACGGCCAGGACGGGCACCACCACGGCGGGCATGAACAAGAACGCCCTGTTTGCTGCTCGAGGCCCCCGGCCGCAGACTGGACGCCTGTGAAGCTCAGGGTAGGCAACCCGCTGCCTCGCGCGTTCGGCACGTTGCCTATCCTCCGTTTGGCAGGCGCCTTGCTTGTTTGCCTTTTTCTCGTCGAAACGACGCCCATCACGCGACACTCTTATCATTGCGCTGACCAGCGCGCCATGCGCCGTGCGCCTTGTGGCAGGTGGACGGTTCCCAAACTGTGTTACCGACGGGAAGGGTGAGCCCTGCCCAAGGCCCCGCGAAGGGCCCCGCCTCCCCGTCTCTGCCACCCTTGGTCCACCTGCCTTGGTCCGGCTTTGAATACACGCGGAACGTCAGGTGCTGTAGATCCTCGCGGAGGGGGAAGGATGCAGAGAACCGTTTGTCTGTCTCTGTCGCACTCATGGGGTGCCCCCCTCGAAGAGCGAGAGAGACAGAGAGCAACGCTTTGGAAACGCTTGGCCGCCAAAGCCGCGCCAAACCGAGGGCGCGAAATGACCCAGTCGGCATGAGTGACCACCAACCACGACCAGCACAGCACCACCAGCACCCACGCCCCCACCCCCACCACGGCCAGGACGTGGCGGGCCGGCGAAAGGAAGGCCGGCGGGGAAGTCTGCAGGCAGCGTGTCCATTTCTAGCCGTGTGCCCGGCACACTGTGCCTGGCACACTGGGAAAATGACCTGCCCTGCCTCCGCCCTCAAAGCTCTCAAGGAGGTTTGCCCTTTGTGCAGCCCCCGCCTTGTGGCCGGCGCGGCCGAGGCGTGGCCGAGGGGGGGGGGGTAATTGCAAAGATGCGGCATCAAGTGACCGTGGCCGTACTTTCCGTGCCGACAGGAGGGCCCGGCCAACCCGGGGCCAACCCGGCGGTCGCCGAGGCAGGCCAAGCAGGCCTCCTACGTGGCCCCTAATCGAGTCCTGTCCGGCCCGCCAGGCTGGCAGGCCTTTGAGTGCGCCAAGTTGGGGCAAGTTTTGGGTTTCTTTCTGGCAGCGGTGTGCTATTTTGATCCGATTATTGCCGATTCCTTGGCCGGTCCCTTCTGGCAGGACCTTTCCGAGTCTTTGTGGTCCTTTTGGCCCTTGTCACCCTGCCGAGCTTGCCTTGCCCTACGGCAGCCCTACGGCAGCCCTACGGCAGCCCTACGGCAGCCCTACGGCAGCCCTACGGCAGCCCTACGGCAGCCCTACGGCAGCCCTACGGCAGCCCTACGGCAGCCCTACGGCAGCCCTACGGCAGCCCTACGGCAGCCCTACGGCAGCCCTACGGCAGCACTACGGCAGCCCTACGGCAGCCCTACGGCAGCCCTACGGCAGCCCTACGGCAGGGCAGGGCGTGGCCGGGCTAGCGGGGCGGGGCGGGGCCGGTTGGTCCATGGGTTGCCGCCGCCCCCACCGCCGCCCCTGCTCCACCCCCGCCGCGCCCCGCCCCCATGGCTCAGCAGCCCTGTTCCCCACCGCCCCGCCGCCCCGACCGCACCCCACGCAGCCCCCGCCCGGACCGCACCGGGCTGGGCCGGGATGGGCCGGGCCGGGACCCCAGTCCCCCAGTCTGGCCGGAGCCGTGCCTGCGGAGGGAGCGTGGAGGCTGCGACCTGCTCACCGCCCCGCACCGCCCCGGTCCACTGCTCCGCCTGCGTGGGCTCTCCTGGACGCGCCCCGCACGCCCCGCCACGCCCCGCCACGCCCCGCCACGCCGCGCTCCCCCCCGCCGCGATCCGTCTGGCCCGAGCCAGCCTGAGTGCATCACCACCACCATGTCGGCGACGGCCTCCCAGCAGCCCTCGGACACCGTCTGCATCTCTGCACAGGTGCGTGTGTGTGTGTGGCCATGCCAGCGCGCGAGTGTGTGTGTGTGTGTGTGTGTGTGTGTGTGTGTGTGTGTGCACGCGTTTGCCGGGGAGGGCTGCATGCCGCTAGCCACCACGCTCCGCCCTGCAGTCCGTTGCATGGGACGCCGCGCCACTAGTCCACTGGTCCGCCGGTCCTCTAGTCCTTTGGTCCTTTGGTCCTTTGGTCCGTTGGTCCTTTGGTCCTTTGGTCCTTTAGTCCACTGGTTCGCTGGTCCGCTGGTCCGCTGGTCCGCTGGTCCTGTTTGCGTCGCTTCTCGACCTGTTACTGCACCCTTCATGCTTCATGCGCACCCCTCGACATGGACTGCCTCGGCGTGGTGCCCCGGCGTGCCCCACCCAGCGGGGGGTGCGAACGGTGTCAACACACGCTGTGCGCGCGTAGCGGCGCGTAGCGTTGCCACGCGCGGGCGCGCCGCGTGCTTTGCGGTGTGCGGCACACATGGACACAGCACTCGCGCGCGTCACACGCTTGACGTCACATGATGTCAAACATACAGCGCAAACTGGAGCAAATTCGGGCCAGAATCGTTTCTTTGAGGCCATGTTGACATCTCAGTGACTTTCCGATCTTCCTGCGAGGGAAGGGGAAGAAACCCACGGATTTTTTGAAGCGACTCCCACGCAGGAGATTAGGAGACGTGTATCATCCACCGCACCTCCTGTTGTTGTTCCCCTCCTTCAGCAGCATCACGTTCTCGCGGAGGCGAAAGAAAACAAAAAGATTCCGGAACCTCCCCGCTTCGTTTCAGTCAGGAGAACAAACATTCATTTTTATGATAATTACTCCTGACGATAGTTCGTTGTCAGAACGAAATGTTCGTTCTGACAACAAATTGATAGTCCGCCTAACAACTTTTTTTAGCTATCCCAAAATCAACATGCATTTTCGTTGTCACAACAAATTCATTTTTTACGTGTAACACTGCTAGCGGGGGCCGCGGCGCGACCTGTCCGGTCGAGGCAGCCGTCACCGACTTTAGTGCATTTCGCTGCACTCCATGCATGCCAATGCCGGCCACGCCCACGCCCCGCCACAACCCGCCACGCCCACCGTGTCACCGCTTAATTGAGAAGCAAAGGTCACGCTGTGCAAGCATTGCCAAGCATTGCCGCGCAAGGCGGGGGCGCACCGCGAAACGCCATTGATTCAATTAGACGGCGAGCTGCGCCACTGTCAGCGTGGCACGCCGTGGTGCACCGACACGGCCTGCATGGCGTTGCCGCGGCGCGGCGCCGCCTTCCTCCCCCGCGCCACTTGTTATACACTGATTCTGGCCCGACGATCTTCGGCAAGGATTCGCGCCGCCTCCCGGCGCCGTTTGATTCTTTGCCAGGACACTGATGCCGGCGGGGCGCGGGTTCGAATCCCAACCCCGCCCCCTTTTCCATCCTCCGCATTTTTCGTTGGCTTCTCCCTACCCGATAAAATAGCGAGCAGTTCCGAACTGGCTTAAACCGCCACAGCCCTCCGGCCCTTGGAAGCGAACGGCCACAGTTCACTTTTGTCTCTTTTCATTCGCAGGCTCTTTATAAAGAACACGCAACTTGAAAAATTGGAAGAAAATGAAAGTTTTCCCTGTACTGTGCTTTTCGCCGCTCTTCACATCCTATTGGTTCGAGCCCCGTCGACGGAACCGCCCACCCGGTCGCCCGGTCCGGAGTCCAGCCCCCCCCTCCTCCCGCTTCCCGCCCCTTGATGTGGTTGACCGTTTACAACGCGGGGAGAAACAATCGACACTGGCGCCGCACCAGTCGCACCAGCACCGGCGAGGTCTGGCTAGGTCTGGCGAGGTCGCTTGGCGCCCCTGTGCAAAGCTTCCTTCAATATACATGCTGCCCCTCCACCCTTCATCCTCCCCCCTCCCCCCAGTCACAGCTATGAGGCGGCGTGATACCTTCTAAAGAGCGCAAGGGGCCCCCATATTCAAACACCGGTTAATGATGCACGACTCGACCTAACAAGGAGCTTGGCTCGTGTGTGTGTGTGTGTGTGTTGTGTGTGTGTTTAAGATGCGCATGTGTGGGTGGGCGAGACTGAGGGCGGGGCGTAGACAGAAGGGGCAACACCCCGTGGTAATGGGGACGAACGTTCCCAGAGGTCCTCATCGAAATATTGAAGTTTCCTCGTCGGCAATTCCGCAAAGCTGTGAGTCGGCGCCACCGCCACCCACACGGCCCCACCGCCCCCTCCCCCTCCCTTTGCCCATCACTGTAAGAGTGCGTTTCTCCCGGCCCCGCCAAGGTCAGCCCTGAATTACGGCCGGGCCCACAATCACAGCAGCGAGTCCAATGCTTTTAATAAAGATGGAGATGTTTTTGGGCGAAAAACAAAAAGAGAATGCGATTTGTTTTTGTCTTTTCAAGTTGGAGGCAAGCAGGCAAGCGGGTAAGCAGGCAAGCGGGTAAGCAGGCAAGCGGGTAAGCAGGCAAGCGGGTAAGCAGGCAAGCGGGTAAAGCTGCGATCACACTAGCGGGTCTCCGAGCGGTTGGCGGGCGCGGGTGGGGGTGCGGTTGGCGGGTGCTCCAATCACACTGGGCGGCGCGGTTGAAGGCCCCGCTCCTCTCCACCGCCGGGAAACATAACCTCCACAACTGTCGCGCTTGGCGGTAAAAATGTCAACAAAAGGGTTTGGAATGAATGACAAAGGTTTAAATTCGTATTCTTTTACTCACTTGTGAATTGCGGCCCCATGATTTGTTTTACTTCTTCCCAAACCTACCGCTTCATATCAGTCCTTCAGCTGTGGACTCCCACAGCATGGGCGCATTTCCACTAATTCTACGAAGAGAAATTCTTTCTCTATCGAGAAAAGTTCTTTGTCCTTCGGTCCCATTATTGTTCAAGTTCAGTGTTCTTAAATCTATATCAATTAAATTCACAACTACAAACAACTGTGTTGCGCAACACCGATCACCGTTCGCGCCTTCTAGAGAGCAGACGACAGGCCAGAGCTGGTCACATGACAAATCCAGCTGCTCTCGTTGGCTGCGGGTGCGGTTAGCGGGTAAAAAAATAGACGGTCGGCTATTCCCAGGCCCGCACCCGCACCCGCCGGGCGCTGCGCTCCTATTGGTCGAGCCAATACCCGCAACCGCACCCGCGCCCGCCAACCGCTCGGAGACCCGCTAGTGTGATTAAGCCTTAAGCAGGCAAGCGGGTAAGCAGGCAAGCGGGTAAGCAGGTAAGCGGGTAAGCAGGCAAGCGGGTGAGCAGGCAAGCGGGTAAGCAGGCAAGCGGGTAAACAAGCAAGCGGGCAAAAAGGCAAGCGGGTATGCAGGCTAGCAGGTAAGCAGGCTAGCGGGTAAACAGGCGCAAAGGTTGCCTGAGCGCGACTCCGCGGGCGGAGAGCGCAGCACTGGGACGGAGCGCGGCTGCAAAGCTGCAAAGGCGCGGGAGTCTCCGTATTTGAATCGCACTGGGAGAGCAGTGCCGGTTGAAAGGATGTAAGAGAAACGCTGGAATAATGCTGGTCCCCAGGGCTAGGGATCGACGCCTGCACTCTCCCTCTCCTTCTTTTACGATAGAAGGCTGCCGCTGGTATGAAGCGGTTTGTTTGGCCACGGATTTGAATCGCTCTGGGAGTCTGCTTCGCAGAATATACGAAGGAGATGAAGAAATTGATGAAATTCATGCACCCTCGAACCCCAACAAACTCTGTTATTTTAGGTCTCACAAAGGAAAATGGCACAAAATCTAGTTTATTTTATTTTTGACGCGTTTTATTGGAGGAAAAGCGAGCCGACCGAAGAGGGGCGGAGCCGCGGTAACAGCGAGGTGCACTCTAATTATAACTGCGTGTTTTTGTTGGGGGAAAACAAACGTGTGCGGTGTTGTTCGGCAAATTAAGCTCGGTGAAAAGGGTAGAGAATGAATGAAAATCATAAATTGATGAAGGGGTTGGTTACGGCTTGCCCTTCTGGAATACCTCGTGCGTACGGAAGCCACAGCAGAGGCGCGCTCCATAATTTTCCCATTTTTCCCGCGATCTCACACGCATTGCCGTCGAGTCGAGAGGGCGGATCGTCCTGCCAGCTTGCTCCGTCCGTTCGCTCTTCCAAAATGTCACACACAAAACGTCTATTTGATAACAAGTGGAAACAATTTTCTTTACCGAATCTGATGGCAATTAATTCTAATAGCTCGTGACAAATTTATCACCAGATTTGGTAATAAACAAAATTTTTCCAGTTGACGCCAAAAATTGTCTACCAACCAAGAAAGTGACAGAGTGTTCGAGTCGTTGTGACTTGATCATTTTTGCAGTGTGCGTGCGTCCGCTTGTTGCGTGGCGTGAGCAAGACGACGCGCACCTCTTGCTGCCACGCCTCCCCGTTCGGCCCGCCTCGGCCCGAGCGCGGATTCCCTGAAAGAAGACCCCGCGCGACACGGTGTGCCACGGTGTGCCACGGCGACTAATCGGCCAGCCGCATTGTGGCGGGTCTTTTGTTGGACCCATTAGCACGAGGCCCCCACAGCCCCCACGGCCCGAGTACCGGGGACCGGGGGGACCGGGGCCCCACCGAGGGCCCCACAGAGGGCGAGGGCCGGGGCCTGTTCGATTTCGCGCCAAGTTTCTTGCCCCACCCACCCTCGCGTACCAGTTTAGTTATTTTAATTTTATTTATTGAGGGGAACTTTTTCCTTTCTTTCCGTTTTCCGTTAAAACCTCTTTCATCCAGCAGCCTCCCGAGGAGAGCGGCTTCGCTCTGTCTTTCTCGCGCTCGTGGGGCATCGCACTTCGGTGCGAGAGAGACGGAGCGGAATCATCCAGTGGCGGCGCCGCGACGCCGCGATCCTCGGGAGCCGCGGGTGTCGGGTTGCCGCGGGTTCGATCTCACGCCGTATGATTGGACGTGTGGTTGGCAGAATGGAATAAAGAGTAAAAGGGTGATGCGGCGATGGCGAGGAGAGGAGGCGGAGGTTAAAAGAATAAAGTCAGCGGGGAAGGGAGCACGCC